AGAAGCATATCCCAGCAAAGAACTCAGAATCTGAGCAGGTAATAGTAGAGTACAGACAAAACTTCCAATTTCAGTTAAAGTCTAATTCCATACAAGGCTCAACCTTGATCTGGAGCCATACCAAAAGTGTCTTTATTGTCTGACTCCCCAGTTTGGATGGTTGCTCAGTGAACTATTTGCTTGTTCCTACCTGAGTAGGTAATGATGGAAGCTCATCATGACTTCTAAGGATATCTTAAGGTACAAAGAAAAAATGCTCAGCAATTCGCCTCCTTAAATGAATTAACCTTCGAGCACTTTCATTCACAAGAAAAAGAACTTTATCCTCTGAGTAACCTTACTAGTTTTAATAACATATATCTTAGTGCTTCTTTTAGTCTCTGAAACTCAGATTTTGAGGGTCAGGACCAGGATGCTCTTCCTGGAATGGGGTAAAACAACTCGAACAATGTCCTATTTACAAAGCTATCGGTGAATGGAGAAGGGGGTGTCATGCTGCTTTTGGTGTTGAATAATGCTGAAACCTGTCTGACTCATCATTTTCATAACTGGGTGAGAAATCACTGACAATCATTTTTATGCTTTGATATATAAATGCTTTGAGAATCAAAGGCTTAGATTTTTATACTATACATTTGAACCTTGCTATTTGATTATTAGACTGCTTTTATAATGATACTAGACATTTGATTATTAGACTAAACACTCCCAAGACTACTTTCTTGCACAGAAGCCAATTGCCATGTAAGAGTCTAGATACATTTTATTAAACTTCTAAATAAGGTGGACACTTACAAACTACCTTTAGAAATTAGCCCTGGCCTGAGCTAACCCCTGGACTATACTCACGAGTTGTTCAGGACATTACTTGCAAATCCTGGCCAAACTAATGCTGGGAACAGTTGTTTCTGGACGTGTTCCAGTGCTGGGGAGCCTTCCAGTTACCAGCGCAGCCAGGACTGCACTCTCTCCAGCTTATACTCTAGCTGAAGGCAAACAGCTCTTGGCACACCTACTGCCTTTGACACAGTTAATGATTACCTTTTGGTCAAAGACTTGCCTGAGAAGCTTTTTGCAGCAGACCAGAACAACAAAGCAAATTTCTTAAAGAGGCTGAATTCCTGCTGGACACACTTGTAAACCAGCTTTGTCTTTCTCAGTATGCAGCAATGGTCAGACTTGAAATGCTCACAATAACTTGCTAAAAGAGTGGTGGGTTTGTAATAGACTGCACTAGTTTATATAACCTTTCTCAATGTCTTTCCTCACGGGCAAAATTGCCAGAGTGTGGCATAGTTTGACTCCAGTCCACCAAAACCTAGCCATGAGCTATGAACAACCATTCATTGGCTCTCTGTAAGGAAGGGAATAGTAAAGTACAATAAAGACAGCATTGAGACACTCAGGAGATGGCATTATGAACTTGTTAAATAGAACCTAAACAAACTCCTCATTTGTTTCCTGTTTTCTCCTGGGAAGGATAACATACTTAAATGATTTTGGAAAGGTGCTACACCCACATTCAAAAAAAAGGCCAAAAGTTCAATCCAGAGAACTGCTTGCCTATAAACCTGGAAAACTCATGATTTGAGTCCTCCTGGAGCACATTTCTGTCACATTAAGATGGCCTCTGGGAATAGTCAGTATGATTTCATCAAGGGTAAATGCCTGTAAAAAGTGGGTTACCACAGGGGTCTATCCTGGAGCCTATCCAGTTTAATGCCTTTATCAGTGACTTGGAGGAGGTGATGGATTGCCATCATGTTTGCACATAACACCAAATTGGAGTGACCAGCTGATTTGCTCAGGATGAGGACTGCAATCCAGACAGACACAGACAAGCTGAAGGAATAGTCAAAAGAAACCTTGAAACCATGTGCTCACTTGAATTTACATTGTCTGGAAGAGGAAAAACTTAAAAAAATAGATTTTTAAATTATTTTACAAACAATTAAAAATATTTTATATAAATATAAAACATCCCACTGTTTTGAAAAATTATGTACATTTCCTAGAACTCTGTGTTTTACAGCAGCCCTTGTTTCTTATAAAACAGCTTCACATAACATTTGGCAACTTCCTGAAGGATGTGCACACAATTCTTCCATCTACTGCTTTCTTATGAAAGGTTGGTAATATTTCTAAAGATTTTGTTACCCTGGTGTTTTTATCAGACTTCTCCAAATGTTGCAAATGCTAATGCTAAACTGCGACATTATTATTAACAGATTTTTCAGACCATGTAGAGCAAAAGTTGTGTGTTTCACTCATGACAAGCTATTCATGAATTGGGTAGCAACATCTACATCAGTAGCATGGAGCACCACCTGTAAGAGATCCCAGCATACCACTCTATGCTGGTGGACCAAGACCTCTGGTGTTCAAAGGGGCTGTGTTGGAGAACTGGAGAGGTGTCTGTCCCCAAAAAACTATTCTAGTGTGAGTTTCAACCACTCATATTGACAATACTGAACTAGAATAAAACACAGAACAGCATGTTAAACAAAACCCAAATAATTGCTGGTTCATCATAAGCACCAGGCCGTAGACTGTGGCAGTTCACATCCTCCTGAAATGACTCTTCCCAGAAGAAGGTGAGACCTACTAAAGGAGAAAACAAAAGACTTCATATGTCCCAAAGGAAGCTGGTACCCAGGAGGGTCAGAGCCAGGACCTGAGGGTAGCCATGAGCCGAGCAGGGCTGTGCCCTCCCTGATCAGGGTCCATTCACACCACCCCATAAGGGAGAGAACAGGCAGGCAAATGCTGAGAAGGAAAGAGTGGGTATCAGGGCACACAGAACCCTGATGAATTAATCCAGGCTAGAGTTCAAAATCAGAGAATCACAGAATGATTAAGGTTGAAGAAGACCTCCAAGATCACATAGTCCAACCCTTGGCCAAACACCACCTTGTCAAGTAAACCATGGCACTAAGTACCACATCCAGTCATTTCTTGAACACTTTCAGGGATAGTGATTTCACCACTTCCCTGGGTAGCCCATTCCAATACTTGACAACCCTTGCAGTTGAAGAAATTCTTCCTCTTGTCCAACCTGAACCTTCCCTGGTGCAGCTTGAGGCTATGTCCTCTGTCCTGTAGTTGCCTAGGAGAAGAGGCTGACCCCCACCTTGCTATAACCTCCTTTCAAGTAGTTGTAGAGAGCAATAAGATCTCTAAGCTTCCTCTGCTCCAGGTTAAACAACTTTGGCTCCCTCAGCTGCTCCTCATATAGCTTAGAAATGGATCAGTTAATACTAACTCAGCCACTGTTTGGGTAGCCTGAAGGTACTAGTCAGATGATACTGTAATATTACCCTCATGTTACCTAGAACTTCACCAAACATGCCACCACAACAGCATGCAAATCCTTTCAGTCATACAGACACATTTACATCACATATATATGTGTAACAGAAGGATGGTACTTTAGAAAATTACTGAAGGTGATGGCAGTCACTGAGGTGGTACCCAAGTAGAGCATTGATGAATAGGCCATTTCAGACCACACTGAAGTGTGACTACACATGTACTGTGTTATTTTTAGGCTACACAAAATAAGTAAATTGAATCCTTTAATGAGTAGAAGATTTGAAACATGCCTGTCCTGTTCCTAAGGTACTGAATAGGTGGCAAGAACTGAGTCAATGTGATTTTAGAGACAAAATCTTGCAGCTCAGCCCTGCCTCACGTGTGGTCTGCCTAAAGTGCTACTTATTTCACTTATCTAGTTTTTTTCATCCATAACCTTAAATAGAAAAATAGAAAATAGAAAATAATATTAACATGCCCTTCGGATGGGAATCACTGGGTAAACATGAGCAAGACTGAGCAGTGTGGACTGAAAAGCAAAGATATTTAAAATTTGAAAAGTCTGTGAAGTAGTTTGCTTTTGGTGGATCTGAGCACATACACTAGCAAAAAAAAACCAAACACCCCCTACAGTTTTGGTTCAAGGATAGCAGCGTTAAGAATAGCTCTTTCTGCAACAGACTAACTACTAAGGACCTTGCCTCACTCCTAAAAAGCCTAGGGAATTCTTCACCTTCCTGTTATTGTACCTGTATTGGGAGTAGAAGGGTTAACTCAAATCACTCTTGCATCTGAGAGTATCTGAGCATCTGAGAACAGCAAGAAGTAAAAAGAATCTATTGCATGAAGATTACATAACTGGATATCAAATCTCATGTAAAACAAATAGGGAAGTGGCTAACTCTCAGCATGACCCAGAGCCACATCTAAAGTTGCTGGAAGTTAAAGCAAAACAATGTGGTTTAGACTCTCATATTTATATGACTGTAAAGTCTTTGGCAAACCTGACATCACATTATTCAGTAAATGCTTTGGATATTTTCTTTTAATTTCTGTAGTCAGACTCTTTTGGACCTAACTCATGATATTGTAGCCCAAGATGAACCAAATAAAAATAACCCATAATCAAGTAGTTCAGCAGTTCAGAGAAAGTTCAGCAATTTGGATCCGGCATTTTCCTTACCATTTCTTTACCTACAAATAAGCAAGAGAGAACTTTCTTTGCTATTTCTATATACATGCTAAGGATTGATCTTCCTCAAAGGAGAACCCAGGCTGGTGCAGGGGCCAGAATCAACATATACGGGCAGTAAGGTCCTGACAGAAATAAGTGACCATGTTATAAACACTTTAAACACAGACTAGTCACACAACACTGCTGTTGTTTCCAGAAGATATTACTTACGAAAATATGTTTATTTGTAGAAGTGGTATTTCTATGAACATATTCATATACTATGATTCCATTGAGCATTTATGTATTTCTGTATAAATGAGTTTACATATTGTGACTATTAATGCTTAGTACATCTGACATAACAGGAAGGAAGTTTGTTGCATGATCAGTATATGTGAAATTGTTAACATCTGCAAATCAGGAAATTTAAGGAAGCTCAAAAGCGGTAAGGGAAATGACTGCGTCACTTTCTAACTTGCAGCATTTGTTATTTAATACTGCCATGCAGTAAAAAAAAATTAATTGGCAGAGCAAAACACTAACTGATTCCTGCATGTGACTACAACTACAAGTTTAAGCGTCCTTGTTGCTGTGAACCAAAATCAAACAAGATAAATGAGGAGAGTTTTTTCAAAAGGAGGTATGTCTCTCTTTTTTGTCTATTGATTTTCTTGTACCACAGAAGATTTTGTGCAGATGTTTGACAAGGGCTAAGTCAGGTACAATCATATTATTCCAAGTAAAAAATATGGATTAGCTTCCTTTCTGCCTAAGAAAGTCTAAGGAAAATTTTGGGGATGCTTTAGCCTATTTGATTAAAAATATAAATGTGTATATAAAAAATTTCTAAAGATTTCTTCAAGATTCAAGGAAGACTATGAAATGTTTATGATGTCTGTTGCATTATTTGACTTTTTTATCTCACATCTATTTTTCAATAACTGAAAGAAATGCTATTTTCTGTACCCCTTCTATAAATTAATCTAACTAGAAATATGTGGATTTATATTTCCTGGGGAAACAATAAATCACAGAACCTTGGGATGGTTGAGGCTGGAAGGCACTTCTGGAGATTGTCCCAACCCTTGCTCAGAGAAGGGTCAGCTACAGCACGTTGCTCAGGGCTTTGTTCAGTCAGTATCTCCAATGCTGGAGACTCCACAACTTCCCTGGAAAGCCTGTTCAAGTGCTTGACTACCCTCACAATAAAAAGTGCTTTCTTCTGTTTAAATCAAATATCTATTATTTAAGTTTTTGCCCATTGCCTCTTGTCCAGTCACTTGGCATGACTGAGCAGAGTCTGGCTCCATCTTCCTCATTCCCCACAGCTGGGTACCTGTATACATGGATAACATATCCCTGAGCCTTCATCTCTACAGGCTGAAAAGTCTCAGATTTCTTAGCCTCTTTCCATATGTCAGAGCCCTTAATAATCATCTTTGAGGTTCTTTCCTGGACTCTCTCCAGTAGCTCTGTATCTTTCTTCTACTGGGGATCCCAGATCAAGACCAGGCACTCCAGGAACATCTCCCTTGACCTGCTGGCAACACTCTGTCTCATGCAGCTCAGTCAAATGCAAATTAGTCACTGTCTCAGGTAACATTTTCTAGTAGCATTCTGTACTAACAGCCTAAGAGCAAAGACAATAAACTGTACAGACTAAGAGAGTCAGAACTGATAATGCTAAGTCAGTATTTAGTGGGTGCTTTCTGTGCTATAGACTATGTGACTGTAATTTCCATCTGACACATAGATTAGGTGGATGAATTAGGTTTATAGCAAACCTCTCTCTGGGAGAGAGCTAGACAGTGAGCTAAGAGTTTAGTATAGAAATCAGGTGTTTGAGTCTCCTCTGGGGCCCTTCACTATGTAGAAGGGTAGACACATGCTCGTGAGGCTGGCCAGGGGAGAAAAAGGAAAGAAGCAAAGCAGAAAAAACATACAGTTTGTGGGGTTTCATCCTAACAGATTCTATTTTACATCCTATTTTAATGAAGTATGAGGAAATTCTGCTTACACAAGAATATATATGTTTCTTCTAGTCTGATCCTTCACATAATCAGTTTGAAATAAGTATGTGTTCCTTCCAGCACCTTCAATAACTGAGGTCTATTCAGAGCAGAGACAATTTTACCACACCTGTCTGCAGAAGACCAGTCTGAGAGGGGGTGGAGGTTCTGGAAGCAGAAAGTTCCTACAGATATGGTGCTGGAGCCACTTGCTTGGTTATTGTGCAGAAGGTATGGACTGGTCATGTAAATGGCTTAGGGTTCACCACAACTCCTGTATGTCTTATCCTGCCTGCAGGCAGAGAAAAGCCAGAGGACCTGGCTGTGTGTTTGGTGCATTTAGGTAGAGTGATAGAGAGAACATAGGCACAAACCAACTAAACAAACTAATCCTATCCTGAGTGATTTGTTTTAAAAGTAGATCAAATGTGAAATACAAATCCTTTGGGAAGCAAGCTCCTTTAGTGCTGTGATCAATGGAAATTATCATTTCTTATGAGGAAAGTGAATGCTTACAGGCCCTGCCATTCCCACTGCAAGTCCAATGAAAAGTCCAGAGTGTGGAGACAACGGTGTCAGCAAACACTCCACTGAGCAGACAGGGCTGCAGATGATTCCTGTGGCAGTGCCCTAGATGAGGGTTTCCATGAGAAAGCATGAAGAGTATTTGCAGTACGAGGCTGTTGTCACGTGTAGGAGAGAGGGAGATTCTGAAAGCACAGGAGTCATGAGAGCAGAGAGAGAGATGACAAGAAGAATGAAGCCAAGAAAATAAAGAAAAGGTGAGCAGACAGTTGACAGAGAACAGGAAAACTTAAAAAAGAATGTAAGATGAGGAAAGGAAGGAGGAAAGGTTGAGTGACTGAACAGATGGGCCAAAGTGGAGAAAAATATGCTTAAGGGGCAGACTAGAAGGACAACAGGTCTTGAGTTTCCCATGGGCATTAGTGTGGAGGTCCCTGAGAACATGGGAAAGTGGAAATAACTACTGAGACCAATATCTCACACAGCATTGCACAACCAGTCCTCCATACCATTTGTACTTAAGATTCTTTAGTATCAGTTCCCAGCAGCCATGGCCACATCCTTATTGTAGTATGATGATTTACAAATACTGATGTTGCAAAAGATAAACAGAGAAGAACCGGGTTACAGTGAAGAGTCTATCTCTGTTGCAACCCCAACATGATGTTCTGGCCTGGCTTGAATCGTGGAAACCACGACGGACATGTACTATCAAGCCAATTTCCAGGAAATGTGACGTGCCTCCTGGAAATATTCAAGAAGCCAAGACAACTTCCTTGGAACGTCTGGATGGGTTTTTGCTTTCACCACAAATGGAGTCAGTCTGAAATCAGCACTCTGAAATTACGATAAAAATTAATACAGAAGAGTGGAAAAGTAATGTATGTTTCTCTTTTTCCTTAATTTGTAAGACTTTACCTTACAGTCTTAGAATTATCCTTAGTAATACTTGTAATCAAGAAAATTGCTATTAGGAAGTTTCACTACTAGGGAATGCTAAAACAAACAAAAAATTAACCAGAGTTTCTTCTGCATGTAAAAAACCCCAACAGAAGAACAAATGCTGTCAATGGAGAAACCTTCTCCTAAGTTGTAACCTACTCTGAGAAAAGAAAATGGTACATAAGATGAGAAATGTTTGACAAGAACTGATGACAGTGTTTGACTAGCTTTGCTCAGGCCTCCATATGAACGAATGTGGATATGGAGGCCTGATATTCACATATTTGCAGATATTCACACTTCCTTAGTAATTTAAATTACCTACAGTGATCTGTAACATCTGACTCCTCTGTTTCTGACACAAAAATTTGAAGTAGCTGTTCTGGATAGATGTAAACCTCTAAGAACAGTGGAAGTTATGTAGTTTGAAAAGTGGAGAAACATTTGTGATATCAAACAGGGAAAAATATGGTGATGCTTTGACCTAGGCTGACCACCAGCTGCCCACCAAACTTCTCTCTCACTCCTCCTTGTTTATTCTCTACTTGCCATCAGCAGAAAATATTCAGCTACTCCCTGGGACAAAGGGCCTCAGTACACAAAGCAGTTGTTTTGGAAGACAAATGCATGAATAACGAATGCCTCCTCCCACTCCAATCCTTCTTTCTCCCAGGTTTTATTGCTGAGCATGATGCCATATGATATGGAATATCCCTTTGGTCAGTTGGGATCATCTGTCCTGGCCATGTTCCCTCCCAGCCTCTTGTCCACCCCTATTCTACTGGCCTTTGCAGAGTGAGTGGGATGGGGTTGGAGAGACAGCCCTGATGCTGTGCCAGCACTGCTCAACAACAGCCAAAATACTGGTGTGTTATCAAGACCATTCTAGCTACTTATACAAAGCACAGCACTGTATGGGCTGCTCTGGGGAAAGTTAACTCCAGCCTAGCCAGAACCAAGTGTTTCTTAAGCTACAAATCACAACACATGAAAGCACAGACATGAACTACCTTGTTGAACCAGGCAGCAGTGCCAACCTTTTCCTATGCTCACACAGCCTGGAGAGGGAGGTGTAACTTCCTTCACATAGCCTATACTCTGCATCACCAGAGACAATAAAATAAAAAAAGTAGGCAAAAGAAAAGTGACCAGATTTAAGGTTTGGTTGCTGCTTAAAAAAATGCCTTTTGGAAAAATACTTCCACATCAAAGAAACTCATCAGAGGGAAACAGAAAATGAAATGCATAAAAAAATAGGAAGATACTAAAAAGGTTAAAACCACTTCTATATAGCAATAGTCAAAGGCTTTAAAAAAAGCAATGGAAAATTATTTGTGTGTTCAAGAAACAGGGAATGGAATTTAATCATATGTCCATTGACTACAATTAGAACTTAAACAAGCTATGCTTTTGTAAATATTTACTTGTAGATACTTTTACATGTCTTAAGGTCTGTTTCATTTTCAAGACATAAAGGAGGCAAGTCAAGATGGAAAAGAAACACTGAAAAATATGTTGTCTTTTGCAGTATTCCTCATTGAAAAGGGCCACTGACATACACTATCTCTTTTCAGGAAATTGGACTGAAAAACACACAAGACAGAAGTAGGCTCCAGAAAATGCAGATAACTTCCAGAAAGAAAGTTGTAGGTCCAGAGGAGCAGAAATACCAAGAATGAAAGTGTAGCCAGTTTGCAATTATGTAAATCTTTGTTCAAATGAACTGTACATGAGGACTTGAGAGTCACATTCTCTAAAATAGCTCTAAGCAGATTCAGCGTTTTTTCTTAGCCTCTCAAGCAGATTTTAAAGCCCAAGTTCAATTGTATACCACTATAGTTATATTAGAATAAAATTATTGCGGGCAAAGTTCTATGAGCTAACATAATTTTTTGATTACAAATCAGACATTCTCAAAGTTTAATAATGTCCACAGTAAGGATCAACAATTTCTGAACACAAAAAAACTAGTAACAAAGAAAGTGTAGAAAAAAAGGTATCTTATTTAATAATGGGATATAGTAAACTACACCTAAAAAAATTGTACTCTTTACTATATTCAGTTTTCCATGAAAAGAGGTGAAAAGTGAGAGACCATATATAAAAAAAAAATTAATTCAGATTTATCAGGAACTGATAGAAGCATCATCAAGTTTATGACAAACGTTGCTATTCAGGATATTCAGGACACTGCAAAAGCAGCTGAATCCAGGGCTATCCAGTGCCTTTGTAAAAGCCCATCAGAATTCCTGCTCGTAAGGTACTTTTCTAAATGGAAAGCTGTTCCATCTCATCTGGGATCAGAAAAGAAAAGAAAAAAAGATGATAGAAGCAAGTACTGACATTGATAAATAACATATACAAAACCAGTGTTATGTTCACAAAAGAGTTTTGATCTTTGTCAAAAGAATATTTTCTAGGGGTGGATTAGACAGCATCTTTGACTCTTCCCATAAAAAAAAAAAAAAAAAAGAAATTTTGTAGAAACCGAAGAGCTCTTTATCATAATTTTCTCTCTTCTCTTCTCTTCTCTTCTCTTCTCTTCTCTTCTCTTCTCTTC